TTTTTTTTTTTTTTTTTGTTCGTAACTGGCCTCAGCAAGCTAAGCCATAAATTATTTTTAGGGTTTATTTTACATAGGAAAAATATGGATGGCTGGACCTAGGAACTTTCTAAGCAGTTGGGGAAGAAAATAATAAAAACTTTGGCTTTTCTGAAGTGTAACTTGTTAAGTAATTAGCAAGGAAGTTAGACTACTACTTTCTTACCTGAAAATTGGTTCAATTTTCTGGTGACCCACGCTATATGATTAATTGTGATTTCACATAGCTATTGAAATCTCAAGTTATTTTCATCAAATTTCACTATCTTCCATTTTTATTTTTGCTTTTGCAGAGTCCTATGCCCTTCTTTCTTTGGCTGTCATCATTTTATAACTTGACTTGACCCTATTGTTGTCATGAACAATTACTAAGTTGTGAAATATACATCTGCAATTTCTAGCTTTTAGATAATTGTTTAGTTGCAGACTTCTAGGCCTCCAAAACATTTATTTCAATAACTTTAGACGTGTCACATTTAGGCCTACTTTACATCAAATCTTTTCATAATACAAAGTTATATGATCTCAAAACGTTATTACGATTTCCAAAAGAAAAAGTTTCTTCTTGTATTAGAAATAACTCTTAATCCTAAATGTGAAGATTCTTAAATTTCTGTATTTTTCTTTAGTTCAAACTTCAATTGCAAATTATTCCTTGATAATATCAAAAAAGAAGATTGTCGGTGTGGGCCTAAATAATTACAAACTTGAAACATGCATCATGTTTCCACTTTTCTTACCAGTATATGATGAGAGATAGTTACAAAAACAATGCGCAGATAGTAATTATTAATATTATTAGTAATAAGGTATGCACTGAGAGGACAACTTTTGCATTTTTCATTAGAAAAATTCTCTCTCATGGTGACACACATCACATAATTTCACCAGAAACAAATGACAACAGTGATTATTAACTGACTTTTAAGAAAAAATAAAGCATTTTGTATTTTCTCTAAATTCTAATCTTGATAATAATGTGATAATTTATAATTCTATAATATTTGAGAGGGAAGTTCTTCCATTCTGACCCCCTAGTGACTCAGTAGTAAGCTTGAGGGCTTATATTTGGGATTTGATCCATGCATTAGCACTACTTTAAATAAAACAACAAACCTTTCACTCTGTCATCTGAATTATATAATATGTCGGTTATATATAAATGTATTATACTACAAAACATGGGATTATTCACCAAGCTTACACAGTGAGGGATAGAAAATACTTTCAGTACATAAATATTTGAATTTACAATGTGTATAGAGAGCAGCTCCATTGATCATCCTTTAGGCAAAGATTTAAAAAATACGTGACTATATGATTTAAATCTATTCTTCCTTCTTAAGGAACAAAACCAGCAAGTGTTAAAGACTCGTATAGAACAACTACAAGATGAGCTACGACAACGCAATGGTTATATAGATGAACTTCACCGTACTCTAGGAACAGTGGTGAGTAAATCTGAAAACATTTACATTTTCTAGCACTTCGTCAAACATATCTACACCTTCTTTCCTTTCAATTTTAAGTTGTTCTTTGTAGCTAGGTTTACTTCAAACAATTTTTATTATTTGAACAACTATTGTGAATTTTTTTAACATTTTAGTATTACAGAATGAAAAAAATCTTTTTATATATACATATATTGCAAGAGAGAAGAACTACGTGATGATCAATTTCACAAATAAAACTGTATTTCTGTGCAGCATTCTCCTGAGCTCTTCAGAAGATCAACCACACAGGACAGCTGCTTGCAGGAAAAGATTACTTATTCTGACTCAAGCTTGTCAACAGAATCAGGAAACGAAGAACTTCCCTTTATGGTCAGAAACACTACATTTCTTATGTAACAATCATAAGCTATTAACATAAGCAGTTATCATAATCCAACAAGACTGCTTTTTTTTGTCAGTCTTTGGACTTCCCGACTTGTAAAAGTTAACAAGAATTAATTTTGGTTAGTTCTAATAACGTTCTTTTTGTTTTTAGCCTGAAGGTTACTGATGGCCACACATTACTTATTCTTTTGTAACTACATCCGTTTGACCAACAGAATATACCCCAAAACACAAATAAGCATTCATTAATGAACAATAGGCGTGATATTATATAAACTTGAGAATAATAATATATTTACTTTCATCATCCTCTGCTGACTCAAGCCTGAGCATGGTTCCAAATAATAGTACAGACTTAAAATTTAATTATTGTACAGGTCAAAATCCTAGTATAAAACTGTATTTTGTTTCTCGTTAAAGATGACAAAAAAAATTGTACAAACCCAAATATACATTATCAGGGTGCAAAAGTTATCCAAAATTAATAATCGAACATAAGAGTAGTAGGGTCATGAGTAGGGTAGACATTCGTACAGGTACGATTATTTGAAACATAAGAATAGTAGGGTCATGAGTAGGGTAGACATTCATACAGGTATGATTATTTGGAACATAAGAGTAGTAGGGTCTTGAGTAGGGTAGACATTCATACAGGTATGAT